CCTGAGCCACCGCCTCGCGCAGGTTTCCGCATTTCGCCGTTATCTCGGGAAGAGCTATATGCCTTCGTAGACGCATACACAAAGGACTATGGCATCACCCAGAGCTCACCACGCGAAGAGCGGTTCTTTCGCAGCTCCATTCCTCCCTGGTTTGCGGCCTCCGCACACCAGGTCACCATTGGCGCGGAACTTCCGATAGACCACTCAATAACTGACGAGGAAGAGCTGACAAGGGAAAAGCGCAGAGTCAGCGAAGAGGCTCTAGCGCTGCACAGCCATCGTTCGTGGATACTCGCGACGGATGGCGGTGTAGACGTTCCCAAGTCAGCCGGGGTTGGAATCCTGCTTTCATCCCTCAATTCATCGGAGATAATAGAAAAGGCCAGTATAAACTGCGGCACACGCCCATGCAGCTACAGGACGGAATCCCGCGCACGGCTTCTAGCCCTGGAAAGGCTGATTATCCCTTGTATCCAACACAGGCATAAAACCCTGCCTGTGGTTACAGACAGTCAGTCTCTTCTAGCGGCTCTAAACAAGGGCCCGCTCAGTCAGACAGACTGGACGGAGGATCAGATCTGGCAGCGTCTTTTGACACTGACGCGTGCCGGCTGGTCTGTGCACCTGCAGTTTTGTTACGGACATTGTGGAATACATGTTAACGAGCTTGCGGATCAGTATGCGACGCAGACTCTGGAAACTGGAGAATACACGGGGCAAGGAATTGCACCTTTATGGCATACGGATCTGCTGACATGTTTTACTACCCTGCTCACCAACAAGTGGCGTAGTACGATTCGTCAAGACACTCATCGCTACTTGCTTTGCGGCACAAGGCCATCCGATCTTAGCGGTAAGGACCTGATCACTCAGAAAGTTCTTCACCGTCAAGAACTGGTTCACCTCGCAAGGGCAAGGTGCGGCGAATCTGAGCTCTGGGGCCGACTATACTGGGCTGTGAGAGATTGCACGAACCAATGCCGTTTCTGCAACATCTCACCGGAACAGTCTGCATATATGCGCTCTAACAACGATCCGACTGCACCTGGGACGGACACTGTTCCCCCGTCGGCAAGGGATGAAGACGTCTCTCCAGTAAGGAGACGAACCGTCACACGCCGTCGGAAGGAGAAATGTCCGTACTGCGATTCTACATTGACGGGATTCTCTAATCTCGTCAGTCACTGTCGGTCATTTCACCCGAAACATCCTCCACCGCTTCCCGAGCTCAAATGCGATTTCTGTGACATGGTTTTCCCCACACGTAGAAGCACCGCACAGCACAGAAGTCGCTGCGCACACAACCCAGACGCCACACGACATCTAAACAGCAGTGCCAGGAGGCGATCTCTGCTACCGCAGGATCAGCCAGCTTCCACAAGCACGCCAATTGGCCCGCAGGAAACCTTGCACCATCTGCTTCTAGAATGTCCAGGCACCTTGGCTGTGCGCCAAAGACTGGGCATTGAACAGGACCTTCGCCACGGAAAGTTCTCTCAATGGCAGTTTCTTTATAGCAGAAAACTTTTGTCGTTGCTCGACCAATTCTCTTCGGCACTCAGATGCCATTGTATAGCTAGACGCGCTGGTAAGAGTAGAAAAAAAAAAAAAAGTTTTTTTTTGTTGAGGAGAAGAACGCCGGTTTGCGACGACGATGGGTCGCGTGGCCGCGCGACAAGAACAGAGACGACCCTTATGAGGCCAATGTTCCTCTTTTACACATTTCCCATTGTTTGCTGCCTGTGATGGCTGAGGCCGCTTCCTGCCTGGATTTAAAGGCATCCTTTTTCCGAGTTTTTACCGCGGGAGACTCGGCATCTCTTTCGGTGCCGCGTGGAGGACGGCACGCTGGTGGAGCTGGCACGGCCCCAAATGGGATACAAGGTCGGCCCAGAAATTCTCCAGATTATTACTTCAGCAATTGCGGGGTGACGACGGTGGTTCACTGCCTCTGGGCTACACCTCCATTGGTGCGCATCGACGTTTGGATCGGTAATATACGCATTGCAGGGTCGAAAAGCGATGCGACATTGTGGGAGGCCCAAGTGCTTCGTAATGCGGACAGTCGTCACGCCACGATGGTGGGGATCGCGAATTGGGCGCTGCGTGGTACACCTTCCTGGGGGTGCGGTTTGATCACACTCACCGGGCGGTATCCCTGAGTGACAAGTTTGTCCTTTCTGTATGCGCCATGTCGGCGCTCAATTCTTTAACCATCGCGGAAATGGAGGTTGTGGCGTCACGCTTTTTGTATGCGGCGGTCATTTTGGGCACGCGTTTATGTGACTACTACTTTTTCATCAAGGCAGTGCGACGACGATTATCGGCAGTTAACCAAGGGATTGTGCAGGAGACATCCCCGGCGAACCTTCCGCCGGCAGCGGTTGGTTTGGGCGAGAGATTGTGACACATCATCGAGAACAATCGCAAGCGAATCATCAAGCCCACTGAAAAGGCATCGGCCGCCATCATCACGGATGCATCGCTCCATGGATGTTGAGCCGTTTTTATTCCATACTCCGGCGACGTTAAAATTGCCGGAGGGAAATGGAAGAGGAAGCCTCTTCTTATCATGCAGGCCGAGGTGCGTGCGGTACGCTTAGCCTTATCGGCCTTTTCCGCCATCTTGCCACCCACCATGGACTTTTGGGTAGACAATACTTTGCTGCAAGGAGCGACGAATAAAGGCAGATCAAAATTGCACGCGTTGACGTGGGAGCTGCGACGGACATATGGGTTTTTGGCTCTTGCGGAATAAAGGCATCCTTTGCATACGTGCGGTCTGCAGAAAACCCCGCAGACGGCATATCACGCGGTCGTGTGTTTACACTTCAGGACTTGGCGAAGGGGTGGAACTTGCGAAGGGGAGCGGCGGGGTCTTGTGGTTGGAGGACCCCAAAATTTTTTTATTTTGCAGTGAATATTATATTTTAAATTTTGCCTGTGCGCAAAAGGCCATATGAGCGGTCAAAAGAATATATATATTTTATCAGAAGAAAAATATAGGCAACTAACTGCTTCTGCTTTATTTCCTTTTTCCTTACCTTGTTTGGTTTATATAGATTATTTCAGGATCCAGCCAGCGGCCTAGAAGAATATTCATTTTGTGAATTGTTTACCGTTACTTGCGTCTTTTCGTTGTTGGCGAGATGTGCGTTGGTGGATTTAATTGTTTTCTGTGCCTTGTATGTATATGTTGTAAAGATGTTGAGCAAGCGTTCAAAAGTTTATTTTTCCAAACAGATTTTTTCCATTTTTTTCATGATGCGGGATTGTTATTAAATCAAAGTGCTATTTTCTATTTTCATAATTTGCTTTTGGATAAATTATTTAGAAGAAAAAAGAATAACGGCTCATAATAGCAATGACAATAATAAAAATTGAAGTGCGAATTATTGAGGTGCCAAATTGCTGCTTTAAGTTGAACTGTTCTACAGATGGTGTTCAGATGGTTATTAAGTGAAAACAAATATTAATTTTGAATGAATAAGAATTTTTTTTTTTAGGGGCTTTTGAAGAGAATGATCGTGGGAGAGCTGGCTAAATTAATTAATGTGCGTAAATCCTGTTAATTGAATGCTTTTCTTTATGATATTTTCTACCGTATGAATATATTGTGAAGGACACGACTTTGGTAGGGGGCAGCAGGGAACCGATAGAGGCAAGATATTATTTTATTTTTACCATCCCACCCAATCTCTTTTGATTCCCACGACGCGGCGGAGTCTTTTGGCTGGTGGAGTTCAAAGTCTGCCACATCGTATGTAATAAATAAATAAATATATAAATAAATAAATAAATAAATAAATATATAAATAAATAAATAATACATATATATATATATATATATATATATCCCATCCGAATAGAGTGAGCGGGCCGCGACTGTGGCTAACGGATGATATATAAATATACATTTATTTGGTGTTAAACTTTGAGTTTTTTGTGAATCTACTCTTTTTCCATTCAAATCTTTCTTATTCCTATCTGGTTTGTTTTCTATTATCGATGAAATCAGGTCCCGGCCAGCGGTCCAGAGGATTATTGTGTATTATTATTATTATTATTATTATTATTATTATTATTATTATTATTATTATTATTATTAGGAGTTTGTGAAGGGAACGATCGCGGGAGAGCTGACTAAGTTAATTAATATATATATATATATATATATATATATATATATATATATGTATCTTGATGAAAAGAATACATTCATTTAAATTTTTTTTTTGTCTTGTGAATTTGAGGAAGAACACGACTTTAAGGGCGTCAGGGAACCGATAACGGCGGGACGGATTTTTCCTTACTCTTTATTTTTTATTTTCCCATCCACACCCTTTTGATTCCTACCTCGCGACGGGGTATTGTGGTTGGAGGACCCCAAAGCCTGCCACTTTCTAAGTAATTATATTCCGAGGAAAAGAAACCATGCGAGTGGTCAATAAAATTTATATATCGAATGAAAGGAAGAAATGGAAGCAAAGAAACAACTGTGCGAAAATCCTTTCTTCTACTACCTTGTTTGGTTTCTTTAGGTTATTTCAGGATCCGGCCAGCGGACCAGAATATTATTCATTTTTAAATTTTATTTATCTTATTTGTTTCAGCTGACCCTTAAAACAGAAGAAATAAGCATCTTGTGGGATCACTATTGGCTGGATTTATTGATTTAATTATTCAATAATTAAAAAAATCTTTTAATGATATATTTTTTTATTAACCAGGATGGGAAAGAAATATCTGGTTTGAATTTCAATTATTTATTTAAGGGGGAACTGGGGATCGTTGATGTTGACATTTTAATCCATTATACAAATGGAGGAAATTGTACTTTGGTGAACTTTTATTATTATTCTTTTTTGCAATTATTATTATTTTTTTCAGTTTGCATTGAGAAGTTTTCCTTTGCTTTTTACAGTATTTATTATTATTATTATTATTATTATTATTATTATTATTATTATTATTATAGTTAGTTTTTCTCGGTTGCGGGTATGGAGGCCGGATTTTGCTTTGAGGCACTGGTGGCAGACGATGTGACTATGGTAGTGGTTAATGTTTGTGGTCACTCATCAGTTGGAATGGCTTTGGCAAAGAATATGGAGGTGGTTCCAGAAGGCTATTTAGATAAATATGGTGTAGATAATTTGATTATCCCAATATCTGTTGGCCCTGCAAAAAAATATGACGGAGAAAAATATGACTTTACCATAGACGTTGTTGTTCATCCAACACTGATTGTTCGGTGTGTGCGGAGTCACCCTTTATTTGATCACTACGTCATTAGACTCACAAATCTTGCAATTGAGTGGATTTTACAGGAATGTGGTATGCGAATTAACCCACGCTCGTGCAGGTTAATTCCAGATAAAAAATATTTTTTAAATGGTAAAGATAATTTTTATTGGACTCTTTCTAGAATTGTGAAGGCAGTGGAGAAAAGGACAACAACTGACCCTGTCGATGAAGTTAAAGATGAGGAAATTTCCCTACCCTCTGAGCTTTGTTTAAATGCCCCCCACATGCAGAGTGAGATAAAAAGTTCACCATTGATTAAGGAGATGCCTGTTGTTACTGGGATTCGAAAAGGATTTCTTAATGGTGTTAGACTATACGGTGCTGGAGGAAGTGGTGAATGCAATCGGCCCACAGCTGACCCACTTCTTCACTTTCCTGAGCATCTTCGAAACCGATGTCAAGTGATTGACACGCGTCAACTTGTTAACGGTGCAACACAGGTTCCGGCAGCAACGGAAACAGATCATATAAAAGAGAAACCCAAATCAACAAATTCGAATATAAAAAAGAAAGAAACATGTCAATGGGAGGTACAGTCTGTGGATTGCAATGAGCGAGAGATTGTGGTGCGGCTGCATCCTCCTCCAAATGTGATGTCAATGAAGGATGTGGAGTTGACAGCTTCTTTAGATGTTATCGAGGTGGATGAAGCAGTGATTAGGCTTCCCAAGGCCATAAAAGTGGATGATGTGTCTGCGAAATTCTTTAAGTCGTCAAGAACTATGGTTCTGACATGTCCGTTGGCATAATTGCACTTTTTTTTTTTGGTGTCATATATGTATAAGTTTGTACCAGAAAATAAGTTTGGAAGATACTTTTATTACGATTGTAAATTCCTTTTCGGTCCTTCGAAATTTTAAATTTTTGAACTCCAGAGTGCATTGGATTTTTTAATGTTTTTTTTTTTTATCTGCATATTGTTTTATTTATGCGAATAATTATTCTTTTTCTGTATGTATATATATTTCCGTTTATTGACTGACTAAAAGCCCCTTTTTAATGGACAGTAAGAATTAGTGCAGGAGATTAAGCTGTTGTTTTTGGTAACAGTGAGGGATGGATAAACCCCAGGAAGTGGCAACTTTGGCAGAGGGGCGAAGATTATACTTAGTTCAAGGCCAGAGGTTTGAGGTAGCTAAGTCTTACAAACTAATAAAACTGGTTGGATGCGGTGCATATGGTTCTGTTTGTTCTGCAATAGATGAGGGTAGCGGCGACCGTGTGGCTATTAAAAAAGTATCTCGAGTCTTTGCCGATATAAAAGAAGGTAAACGCATATTAAGGGAGATGGATATTTTAACAACTCTCCATCACACCAACTTGATACGTCTTCGGAATTTTATTCGTCCCTATGGAAAGGATGATTTTGACGACATTTACATGGTGATGGATTTGTACGATACAGATCTGCACCGTATTATTCGTAGCAGACAAAAACTGACGAATGAACATTACCAATATTTTATGATTCAAGCTTTTCGAGGGCTTTGCTACCTACATGGTGCGAAGGTTATGCATCGAGACTTAAAGCCAAGCAATCTATTGGTGAATGCCGATTGTGCTCTAGCTATTTGTGACTTTGGACTTGCCCGCGATGATCAATGGACAGTCTCAGATGCCCTCACGGAATACGTTGTCACGCGATGGTATCGTCCTCCTGAAGTACTGGGAATGGGATCACACCAGTACACGAATGCGGTGGACGTTTGGAGTCTGGGGCTTATTTTTGCTGAATTAATGGTGGGCAAAACATTATTGCCCGGACCCGATTACATTCGTCAACTCATTATGATTTTGCATTTGCTCGGGAC